CTATTAATGGATAAAGAGAACAGATCAACTAGGGTTTAATTTGAATGAGAATCTAAAGTAGTCAGTAATCTAACAGTAACATGCAGCTAAGCAGTGTCTTTGATGTCAGGGTTACAATGGAGAAAGATGAAATATGGACCAAGGTTTTAGTTTAAATAGGCCTGACATTGGTAGATGAGGCAGAACTTGACCACATTAGACTGGGAAGAACTATTAATGGGTAAAGTTTTGGATGAACAGTAGGAGAAGTTGTAAGTATTTGGTAGAATACAAGATCTGTATATATAATTAAAGGGCAAGAGCTTTGTGTGTCATTAAACAACCCTGATTAATAGGGAGCGAGCGACAATGTAAACCTATCAATGAAGGTCTAGAGCTGTCGCAGTCCCGCAGAGTAGGCATGATATAAGGAAAGTGTAAGAAAATGAGAGAAAAAGCTATAAGGAATACTATGGACAACACTAAAGGTTTTACAAATATGTGAACAGAGGGTGAGTGGCTAGAGGCTTTGTGCATGCTTTAAGGACAGATGCTGCTGATACTGTGATTGGAACTTAGGAATTAGAATCCTAAATAGTTACTTTGTAGTAATCACCCACAGTAAAGGTTGTGGGTAAATGCAGAGACAATGAAAAAAAGTGAATTGAGAGCAGAAACTAAACACGTTGAACCAACGTTAGCTTTTTTTTTAAACACGTACAGCCCTTTTATTTTTGCCTGTCTGCGCACGCTTGTTAATTTAGAGAGGCTGAGTTACATGGAGACTCTGATTGCTGCGAGACCACATAGTTTGGAGGGAACACTGACATGGTTCAGATTAGCATCAATACCACAGGTTCAGTTCCCATCCTAGCTGAGTTAGATTTGGGGCCTGTCTCCTTGCCTTGTTTCTGAAAGTAAGCCCATGGCGAACCGTCACTGACAAAAATTGCCAAGAAAAATCGGAAAACAATCCAAGGGCTGTCTTCAGGCAAAGCACAGGTGATGGGGAATAAAGTATGCCTGTGTTAGTGATCTTCCAAAACAACTTTGATTTAGGAGTTGAAAATTGTATGAACAGGAGTATGCCATTCAGCCCGTTAAGCTGCCCTTCATTTAATACGATCACCTCTATCCCCATAACCCTGTATGCCATTTGAAATCTAAATTAAACATCCTCAAAGACTTCACAGCTCTCTGTGAGGGAGAATTCCAAAGATTCACAATAGTGAGTAAAACAATTTCTCCTCATCTCTGACTTAAGTGGCATCCCCTTATTTTACACTGTCCCTCTTGGTTTTAGACTTCCCCTAATCAGATGAAACATCTTACCTGCATTTACCACACGTATTCCTTTAAATTGCTGTAGATGAAGTGCCTGAATGTTTAGAGAAGTATAGTTCTCTCAACAGAGAACTAGTATGGATTTGTAAACTGTTAACTCCTGTTTGCAAAGCTAGTTGAATTTTTTGATTAGTGAGGGAATACCTGTATGTATGAATGTTATTTATTTGAACTCCCAGAGGCATTCTAGAAGTTCCTTATAAGAGACTGTGAACTCAAAATTGAGAGCATGTGCAACTGGAGGTAACTGGTTTGGAGGTAGGAGGCTAATGGAAATGTATTGATTGGCAGGAACAAATTACTGCAGATTTTGGAATCTGTACCGAAAACAAAAATTGCTGGAAATCACAGTGGATCTGGCAGCATCCGTGGAGAGAGAGCAAGTAATGTTTTGTGTCTAGATGGTTCTTCATCAGAGCTGACATGAAGTGTGGAGGGGACAGCATTTATGCAATAGCGTGGCAGTGGACTGCTGGTGGAGAAAGGGTATTGATAGTTCAGATTAAATGATCAGAATGTGAGAATGGCGGAACAATGGTGTGTCCAGTTGCCAAAATGGAAAGAACAGATGGTTCCACGAGTGGGGGAGGGGAGAGAGGACATGGTGACAGAAAATACAAGTAAAGCTAAAAGAAAGGGAAGAAATGGGAGTGAGTTCACAATCCGAAGGTGTTGAATTCAGTATTAATTCCAGAAGGTTATAAAGTGCCTCATCTGAAGATGAGATGTTGCTCGTGAAGTTTGCACTGTGATTTGCTGGAGCAATGCAGCATGCTGAGGAAGACACATGGGCATGCGAGCAAGATGTATGTTAAAGAGTACTGGGCTAATGGTAAGATTCTTGGTAGTGTGGATGAGCAGAAAGATCTCGGTGTCCATGTGCATAGATCACTGAAAGTTGCCACCCAGGTTGATAGCGTTGTTAAGAAGGCGTACAGTATGTTAGGTTTTATTGGTAGAGGGATTGAGTTTCGGAGCCATGAGGTCATGTTGCAGCTGTACAAAACTCTGGTGCGGCCGCACTTGGAGTATTGCGTACAGTTCTGGTCACCGCATTATAGGAAGGATGTGGAAGCATTGGAAAGGGTGCAGAGGAGATTTACCAGGATGTTGCCTGGTATGGAGGGAAGATCTTATGAGGAAAGGCTGAGGGACTTGAGGCTGTTTTCGTTAGAGAGAAGAAGGTTAAGAGGTGACTTGATAGAGACATACAAGATGATCAGAGGATTAGATAGGGTGGACAGTGGGAGCCTTTTTCCTCAGATGGTGATGGCTAGCACGAGGGGACATAGCTTTAAATTGAGGGGTGATAGATATAGGACAGATGTCAGAGGTAGGTTCTTTACTCGGAGAATAGTAAGGGCGTGGAATGCCCTGCCTGCAAAAATAGTAGACTCGCCCACTTTAAGGGCATTTAAATGGTCATTGGATAAACATATGGATGATAATGGAATAGTTTAGGTTAGATGGGCTTCAGATTGGTTTCACAGTTCGGCGCAACATCGAGGGCCGAAGGGCCTGTACTGCGCTGTAATGTTCTATGTTCTATGTTCTATGTTCTATAAAATGACCAGGTACGGAAGGTCAGGGTCATGCTTGTGCATGGACCGGAGGTGTTCTGCAAATGGGTCATCCAGTCTGCGTTTGGTTTCTCCAATGTAGAGTAGGCCACATTGGGTGCAGCAAATTAGAAGGGGTACAGGGGAAATGCTGCTTCACGTGGTGTTGATGGGGTTATAGTTCTCCCTATTTTTCATGGGCCAGGATGTAACATCATCAAAACTGCAATACTGTGCCATCACTCCTGTATTTCAGGAGGCTTGGAAGGTTCTGCCACAATTTTTAACCTTATTCCCCCCTAAGAAGTGTCTCATCTGGACTGGGTGACTGGTGCACTTTGAATACTTCTAAACATTTGAGCACCTCTTTGTTTTTATCTCATTCGTCATTTTATGTCATTTCAGGTATCTAGACCAATCAGAGTCATCCAGCCTAGTTTAAATTTAAACTTGGCAGTTAACTGTCAGTCATCGAATGATTCAGTCATCATCCAATTGGTGCATTCCCCATGGCAACATCTTCAAATCATAGTTCACTTGCCAACCAATAGCATGCTCTTCTCATATAGTAAAAAACTGTTAGCCCCCTTTACATTGATATTTCTTGTGATTGTCCTGATAAGTGAAAGATGAAAAGCTTTGACAAAATATCTTTTTTTCTCAGCAATAGTCAATTTCTGTATTACCAAGTAACTATGTATCTTTAATCTCAATAATTATCCTAATAATATACATTTACCAGAAGTTAGAAATAATCTTCCTTGCTAAATATTCATTTAGTTTCTCGACCATGCCTCTGTCTCCAGCATTAGATTTCTACTTGAGTTTGAAGGACCAACCATGAATGTGAACTGCAATAGACTTCAACGTTAGATAATCTGCTGCTTTTGAAATTACTCTGCAGAGTGTTACTTTGTCACTGTGAAAACAATGCTAGCTCTCATGCCATTCGGTGCTTGTGACTAATTGGAAATCTAAGTGCAGCTAGTTAAATATTACTAATACCTTCCATAATTTTAGGCAATTTAAAACTTTCCATGTCTTAAGTTGGACCAAGTCCTGTTCCCTAAACCTCTGCACTTCCAGTTCTCTTTCCCTCTTTAAGATGCTCTTTTAAAAAGGCTCGGTATCAGACTTTGTTTCATTTGTTTGGATGTATGTTCGTATAGTTCTTGTGAACTTTCTTTGAACATGTTATTATGTCAAAGGCACTGCTGTCATAGGCATTGTTACTAATGCTGGTGCTTCATTTTGTGCGTGTGTGAACTTCCATCAACTTGAATGTTTAATAAGATGATCAGATATAAAGCTGATTGCAAGTCGTTTTGATCATGAACTGATGATGCTTTGCTGTCTTGGTTACTGAATAGTGACGAATGCTTTACGTAAAAATGCACACAATATGCCTGTATTTACATTGTGAGAGTGTACGTAAAGCATTTTACTGAAGCAAATATTGAACTCATATAATGTTTGGTAATTGACCAAGCACAAATTGCCATGTTTATACAAGCTGTCGGCTCTCAAAATTGCTGTTCTGTTGAAGGAACAAAACATTGAAAGCACTGACTTCAGTAATGTGCAGATTGAAAGTTGATGTTATTAGAAAGCACAGATGACTAATCCTGTCTAAATGTTCCTATAGTATCCAAAGTCACAGTGTATTACTGTCAGGCAGTATTAAAGCAGCCAAGTCATGTGAAGTCCTCATCAACAATTTGTACTTAAGTTGCTGCTTAAGTAAATCCTGAAGCAGACTCAGAAGGCGATGTTAGGTGGATGGTCTATTTTGAAGAGGAGGTTATTTATGTGAATGGAGTGGGTTTTGAGAAGCACAAGTATTCATGAATGATATAACGAAAGGAAGTGTGGAAAGGGCTATGTGTAGGGTGGGCATTCGTCTGGTTTTACTGTATTTTTGTTGTGGGTGGTGTGAGGATATTTTTTACCGAGGGGAGGTGGTGTGATGTCTCTTGGGTATGTTTGTCTTTGGGACGGGTTATTTTAAATTTTTGGTCAGGGTGCTTCTATGCATTGAGAGAGTGCGTGATAATTTGGGAGCTGTCCTGTGGTTTGTCTAACTGCATCTGTCAGTGAGTTACGTCCCTCGTATTTTTTTTTCTTTCCTTTGCACATATCCATACTTGCACGTAAAAGCCATTGGCTGTTAACTGAACATAGAATCTTTTGAAAATAATCTTGAACTCAGCCAACACTCTGCAGCATTTATGCTGTCTCACCAAGTTCTGTTCCTCCATTACCCTTATGTTCACTGATCTAAATTTGTTCATCCCTGTTCCCAAATTCCTTGCTGGTCTCACCCCTCCCTGTCTCTCCACTCGGGAATCATTGCAACCCATGGTACCACTAGCTTATAGAACTCTGTGGTCCCTTTAAAATTTACCTATGCTCAGTTTAAAGAGAATATTGTTTGTATATGACTTTGTCCCTGTGTACCACGTTCTTTACGTTATGGCTGATCATTTTATAGGGAATATTGCCTACTGCCATAGAGTCATACATCATGGAAACAGACCCTTCGGTCCAACTTGTCCGTACTGACCATGTTACCAAACTAAATTTCTCTCTGTGCATCTCCAACTCTGGGCACTTGCGCATTTTTATTTTTCATTGTTCCACTGTTGGCGGTTGTACTGATACTGTTTTTTAAAATTTCTTTTTCTTTATTCATCTACGGGATGAGGGCATTGCTGGCTAGGCCAGCATTTATTGGCCTCTCCTAATTGTTAATAGTCAATTACATTGCTGTGGTCTGGGGTCAACATGTAGGCCAGAGCAGGCAATGACAGCAAATTTCCTTCCCAAAAGGACATTAATGTGTTCTTATTTTCACAACAATTGGCAATGGTTTTGTGATGGCCATTAAGCTAGTTTTTTAACTCCAGATTTATTTAAGTTTAAATTTCACTGCCTGCCTTGGGGATTTCAAACCTTCGTGCCCAGAACATTAGTCTGGGGTTCTGGATTGCCAGATCTGTGACATTGCGACTTCACGATGATAAACTCTGAACTCCCTCCCGAAACCCTACCCCTGTGATCAATCTTTCGATCACCAGTCCTAATTTTTCAAGGTGGCTCTATCGAATTAAGTTTGATAGGATGCGTGCAAAGTCCTTAGGGACATTTAGCTGAAAGGTGCTATACAGATGCTGGTTGAAGACTGGCCTTGTACCACATTCTCAGGAGTAATATTAGGCTCTCACATGTTCTGCTGCACTTCCTAAAGTGCCAGAGTAACACCTTGCATAAAGACACCTTCTACTCTCCCGAACAACTGCTGATGCCTTGTGAAGAATCGGTGAGGATATAAAAGAGCTACCCAGTAGGAACCAGAATATCCAGGAGAAGGGGACTTATGATGCGGAGAAGGAATCCCGATGCTGCTTTCTTGAGTTTGTTGATTTGTGTGTTTTCTTTTCCAGTACTGGCCCACAGAAATGTGCAGCCTGCATCCAAGAGGACATTTACGAAGAACCTTTGTCTCTTCTAGATGCCAGCTCAGTAAGTAAGATTTGAATGCTGCAAACAATGGACATTTTAAGAAATTGCTAGAACAGCCCAAGTTAATGAGCAACATCCTGCGTGAATATTCTGGTCTGCCTCAGAGACTGAGTCTCCAAAACACTGGACTGGGTAATGGAGATTGTGGTGCGATAGTAAGAGATTGAGAGGAGAAGCTCATTAGGCTCATATGTCAACATTATTCCTTCAATGCATTTTTCATAACCCTGAACCTCAAATTTATTCTGCTCTGAAAACTGATCAGTTTTTTGTAAAACAGTTCCTCACATAGTTCGTCATCTAGAATTTTCTGTTTTGTAACTATCAATGTAGAGCAAACTAGCTGTACATAATGTAGGTTGGTGACATAATTTAGGACTATTCTCTCCTCAGTTCAGGAATATATCTGCCTCTGTAATTGCCTACATTCCTTACAGTGCCTTGTCCTCAAGCTCCACTTTACTCTGATTCTGACAGACTATTCCTACTCCGACCACTCAATCATCCACAACTCTATTAGCTGCTGTGTCTCCAGTTGCCTCGGTTCATATTTTGAAATGCTGTCCTTTCTACATCTTCACCTCTATTTACTCTTCTAGGATCCTCATCTTTGCCTAAGTTATTGATTTTTAATCTTGATTTTTCTTCTTTTGGTTCCATGTTCATTTTCCCAACTGGAGCCATCTGAGCATCTTAGGACATTGCTTCCACATTAAAGCCTCTAAGGATATAGGTGTTATCTGGAGAAAGTAGCCAAGAGAATGTGGATAGGAGCGAGAGTTACATCTGCTTCTGGGCAGTGTTTGAATGAGGATAGAGAGGTTTGACATGAGGTTTTTCTTGTTGCTCGTGTTGACCATGGAATGGGTTGAATCAGAAGGCTTATATCCCCAATGTCCCATGCAAGCGTTGCTTTACTCAGGAGAAGGGTTGACTGGAGAGCAGCAACTGTTTTTTGACATAAGGGAAGGTTACTGTCTGACATTGAAATAGAGTACTGGTGGGTAAAGGCCTGTTATTGAGTTGAGCAGTGTGGGGGAATGGTTAGAAACATCAGTTTTGAAGTAGAGCAAGTTAATTGGACTTTCCTAGTATATTGGCGTCAAGCTGAGTAACAGCAGCAACAATTTGTAAACTTGGAAATTCTGCTGTATCTGTAGTTGTTGAGATACATTGTTCAGGCCCTCCTGTCCAATCCATCTGGAGAACTGTTTGACTGTGCCAGGAATTCCCATGTGTTCTGGATGCTGTTTGCTGGTCTACCTTGATTCTTTTTCCACAACTGGGAGCCTGAAATTTGGGAATTTTTATATAGTATATCCAATAAAAAATTCAGAAGAGTGATTAAAATCTACAACTTATTACAACATGAAATAATTAGTGTGAATACCTACTTCCCAAGTGCTAGATCAATACTAGCAAAAAGGATTAGAAAGAAACGCTAATCATTAAGTGATATTGGATGGGAGGACACTAATGCAGAAGATAAGCATTCTTTATATGTATGTTTGTAGTTATGTCTGCATAATACTCTGTTTGAAAAAAAAATCAAGTGGTGCCTTTTAATCTTTAAGCCATTTCAATAGCCTTGACCCAGCTCACTGGATAAAGTGACCTGTACAAGTTCCACAACTCCCCATTGTAATCTTTTTTTCTTCCTTTAGGCTTTCCCAGACAATGCGGCTCGCAGGGAAGTGGAAAATCTACCTGCAGTTTGTAACAATGAGAGCTGCACCTGGAAGGGCACTGTTAAAGAGTATGAGGTGAGAAGAAAGATTTAACATAAAGGCGAGAAATCTAAAAAGAAAATTAAAGGAAAGTGTTTTATTGGTTTTGTTTTGTAAACCTTGTTCCGAGCTGGTGGGGAATTGGAATATCAGGCAGAGTTTCTCCTGTTCATTATGATTTCATTTATTGTTGTCCGATGTACCTAACCACAGTCGAAAGATTTGCTTTGTGAGCAGTATAGGCAGATCACAGCAAACAAGTACATTCAGATCGTTGGGTGCTTAGACAGAGCGAGGCATACAAGGTTACGGCTGCACAGGAGGTGCATGAAGCAAGATCATTGAATTTGAAGTTCAGACATCCATTCATCAGTCTAATAACAGTGGGGAAGAATCTGTTCTTGAACCTGTTGGTGCGTGTTCATACTTCTGTATCTTCTGACTGACGGAAGAGGTTGTAGGAGATCGTTACTGGGCTGCAATGGGTCTTTGATGATGTTGGCCGCTTTTCCACAGCAGTGGGCCGTGTAAATAAGTCCATGCTTGGAAGGTTGGCTTCTGTGATGGTCTGGGCTGTGCACTCCACCTTCTGTAGTTTCTTACGGTCCTGGGCAGAGCATTTGCCATACTAGGCCGTTATGTACCTGGACAGTATGTGTTCAATGGTGCATCTGTAGAAGTTGGTGAGGGACCTTATGGACATGCCAAATTTCCTGAGGCGCCTGAGGAAGAAGAGGTGTTGTTGTGCTTTTTTGACCGTTGCATCTATGTGGGAGGTACAGGACATAGTGTTGGTTATTGTCACTCCTAGGAACTTGACACTCTCAACCCTCTCCACCTCAGCTCTATTGATGGAGATAGGAGCTTGTCATCCTCCTTCCTTCCTGAGGTCAATGATCAGCTTTTTTCATTATTATCTACTGCTGGTTCAGTTGGTGAGTATGGACTTGGGCTATGGTTAGGATTGGGGTAACATTGTACTTCCTTTTCCTCTTCCATGAATCACTTACTGTGCAACACTAAGGAAATGTCCCTCCCATTCCAGAAATGTCTCACCTCTGGACATTTACATCAGGAGAATCTTTTTTTTAAAAAAAGCTGCAAAATTTAAGGGAAGTTGGAAAGTAGTAACGTGTGTTGCTTCCAGTACATGTAAGTCTGCCACATTGCAAACCTGACTGACCATCTGAAATTGGTTATCCGTGTAAATCTTCACACACATAGAACATAGAACATAGAACATTACAGCGCAGTACAGGCCCTTCGGCCCTTGATGTTGCGGCGACCTGTGAAACCAATCTGAAGCCCATCTAACCTAAACTATTCCATTATCATCCATATGTTTATCCAATGACCATTTAAATGCCCTTAAAGTGGGCGAGTCTACTATTTTTGCAGGCAGGGCATTCCACACCCTTACTACTCTCTGAGTAAAGAACCTACCTCTGACATCCGTCCTATATCTATCACCCCTCAATTTAAAGCTATGTCCCCTCGTGCTAGCCATCACCATCCGAGGAAAAAGGCTCCCATTGTCCACCCTATCTAATCCTCTGATCAACTTGTACGTCTCTATCAAGTCACCTCTTAACCTTCTTCTCTCTAACGAAAACAGCCTCAAAACCCTCAGCCTTTCCTCATAAGACCTTCCCTCCATACCAGGCAACATCCTGGTAAATCTCCTCTGCACCCTTTCCAGTGCTTCCACATCCTTCCTATAATGCGGTGACCAGAACTGTACGCAATACTCCAAGTGCGGCCGCACCAGAGTTTTGTACAGCTGCAACATGACCTCATGGCTCCGAAACTCAATCCCTCTACCAATAAAACCTAACATACTGTACGCCTTCTTAACAACGCTATCAACCTGGGTGGCAACTTTCAGTGATCTATGCACACTCAGGATTATCCATTAAATATGATCCGTACTAAAACGTTGGACACCACATTGCATGTTTTGCTCACTTAGGCTAGTTGGGTATGGTCAGTGCCTTGCTTGTTGTGCTGTTGCAGTCTGCCAGGCTTTGGGGATGTATGGTCTATATATCTGGCATCACATGAGCACTGAAATTCGTATACCCCAACTCTCATTTTTGTAAAAGGCAGAAATTATCTTGGCCTGGCATCCCGCTGGTGGTGACTACCAGTCATGTTGCTACCACATAGTAGCAGCATGAAACAGCTAGCTACACCAGTTGCTGAAACTATTGAGATGCCTTCCAGGATAATCTGAGGAAGACTATGCACTGTTCAGGACTAAGAGTGACTGCCTTTCCTGAGTTTGCATGTTATGCAGGGAGAAATGATCTGATCAGAGTAGCTATTGTTGAAGGATGCTGTGATGTGCTGCAGTTCAGCAAGAAGTTTGCACGGTGAGCAAACTAATTGGGCCCCATTTACAAGATGACTTCTGAACTACTAACTTCTGTCAAAGGTCGGGTGAGGCTGACTTGGGAACAAAAAATGGAGATCTTCCTGTGGAGGAAAAGGGCTGGTGGTGAGATTAAATAAGTACCATGGCAACACCCTCTAATCTAGTGAAGACCGATGCAATGTCAGTAAAGGATGAGGAAGTTGTGATACCAGAAGGGGTAAAAATAGAAAAGGATGAAATAGATTTTTAAAATGTTGGCAGTGCTCAAAATGAAGCCTCCCAGTCCAGATGGGATACATTTTATGTTACTGGGTGAACGGAGATGGAAATTCCGGAGACTCTGGCTGGAACCTTCCAATTCTCCTTGGATATTGAGTTGGTGCCAGAGGACAGGAGCATTGGGAATGGTAGCCCCCGGTTTGAAAAATGAAACGAGGATTAACTGGAAACTACAGACCAGATAACATAATAAGCTGGTGTGGAACGCTAATCCAGGGCAAAACCAATTGGCATTTAGAGAAGTGTGGGCTAATAATTTCCAGTGAGACTAGATTTGTGAAAAGCAAATTGTTTGATTGACATGATCAGGTTCTTTGAGGGCAATGTGATTGGTGTTGTGTATATGTGGATTTTCAAAAGATATTTGGGCAACAAATAAAAGTTTGTTCACAACATAAAACCAAATTGATTGAAGGTACTTTAGCAGCATGAGTTTAAAATGAGCGAGTGTAAAGAAAGTAGTGGTGAATGGTTGTTTTGGCATGTGGGTCTATTAATGTTTATAATATATATTAATTTCCTGGTTGGGGTATACAGGGAAAATTCCAAAGTTTGCAGATTACACAACATGATGAGGGTAGCAACAGATTTCTTGAGGCTAGAGGCAGACAGGTGAAATGGGCAGACACAGGGCAGGTGAATTTTAATGCAGACAACCGTAAAGTGATACATTTGGTGGGGAAAATAAGGCAAGGAATCAAAAATAAATATAATATGAATTAACTATAAACTAAATAGAGTTTTACATGGGCTTCAGGATCAGAGTGACCTGTGTGTGTATGTACACAAATTTTCAAAAGACAAATTGAGAAAGCTGTGAGGAAAGAACAAAGAACTGTGCAGCGCAGGAACAGGCCCATCAGCATGCCAAACCTGTGCCAGCACATTATACCTTTCTAAACTTAAAAGCCTTCTGCCTCTGCACGGTCCTTGTCCCTCTAACCATTGCTTATTCGTACATCTGTCAAGATGCTTCTTAAATATTGCTATTGTATCTACTTCCACCACCACCTCTGACAGTGTATTGCAGGCACTTACCATCCTTTGTATAAAAAGTTTGCCTGTCACATCTCCTTTAAAATTACCCCCATTACCTTAAATGTTTGCCCCCGAGTAATTGCCATTTCTACCCTTAGAAAAAGACCCCAACTATCCATTCTATCTATGCCAGTCATAATTTTGTAAATTTCTGACAGGTCATTCCTCAGCCTCTGATGTTCAAGTGAAAACAAACCAAGTTTGGCCAATCTCTCCTCATAGCTAACACCCTCCAAATCAGGGAACACCCTAGTTAACCGTTTTTTGTACCCGTTCCAAAGCCTCCTCATCTTTCTGGTGGTGTGGCGATCAGAACTGTCCAATATTCTAAATGTGGCCTAATTAAAGTTCTATACAACTGCAACGTGGCTTGCCAATTTTTATACTCCCCGACTGATGAAGGCAAGTATGCCATATGCCTTCTTGACCACTTTATCCACTTGTGTTGCTAATTTCAGGGAACTGTGGATCTCTCTGAATGTTAATGCTTCTAAGGGTTCTGCCGTTTACTATCTACTTTTCCCCTGCATTTGACCTTCCAAAATGCAGCACCTTGCATTTGTTGTTGAATAAATTCCATCTGTCATTTCTCCATGTGGGGATCGTAGGTTTCATTAATAGTGGAATCAAGTACAAGGATAGAGAGGTAAAACATGGGTTATGTACCAGCTGGAGTATTATGTTCAATTCTGGGCATCTCACTTTGTAAGACTTTGACTTCCTTTCCAGAGGGTGCTGTAGAGATTTGATTGGAATGGTCCCATGGATGAAGGACCTCAGTTGTATGGAGAGAGTGTGTCTTTTCTTAGGACATACAAGGTCAGGAGAAAATTTCTTGGATTGGTTCCAAATTTTGAACAGTTTTGATGAAGTCAATAAGAAGAGACCAATTTCACTTAGATGGGCACAAATTGAAGGTGATTGACAAAAAAAAAATCAAAGGTGACATGTGAAAATATTTCATTAGAAAGTAAGCATCCGTGATCTGGTAAAGATAAATACATAGAAAGGAAATAAATTGCTGCCAGTTTTACCAACATGCTAGCACTGGCCCGACAAGCTGATTGGCTATTTGCTGTATTGTATCATTTTGTAATTGTATGATGCATTATGTAGTGCCTAGACATTGAAGCACCCTGAGTGTTTTTCTTAGAGTTGCTAAGCTTATAGAAGTTTGAGAGATTGGATTAGGCCAGAGATGTGTTCTAAAAGAGGAGAGGGAGATGTGGAGGAGTTTGGAAATTGAAATCTACGGCAGGAAGTCTTGCTAGCTAAAGAAGGATATAGTGTACAAGTGGTCAGACCTGGAGGAACAGAAGGGCTTGAGGATTGGGAGGGTTATGTTTCAGGACTGGAGGGGGCTACAGAGATTTGAAGGATGGCAGGAATGGAGGGTTTTAAACACTGTTTGTGAGTTGGGAGTGAGAGCTGTTGTAGTTCAGTGAATACTGATGCTGGATGAGTAGGACATGAAGAAGGATTATAGTCTTAAAAGTAGATGTTTGGGTGAGAACTTTGAGTGAGAAGCCAGGAACCTGTTGAGCAGGACGATGGAATAGTTGAATCTGGAAGAGGTTTCAGAAACAGAGTGGTGGTGGTGGACAATGTTATGAAGATTATAGGAAGTAGTCTTTGTCATGGAGAGGATGTGAAGTTAGTAACTCAGCTCAAGGCTGAAGAGGAGGCGAAAATTGGATTGGATGTTGATAGGAAGGAGGAATTCTCATAGTGAAGGGAACAGAGAACTCATTACAGGACTTGGGTTTTGCACAGATATGTAAGAGTATAGCCATGTGATTTACATTTTCGTAAAACCTTTAGGGTTTCTGGGTATGTGCTGGTCTGCTGCTCTAAGTTTAATTTCCCGTATGATGAGTATACGTTCCATCTTTGAGTTCTGGCTATGTTTATCACCATTGGGAGGGAATGATGTCTGTTAATTTCCATACCAAGATGAAATCTGAGATTGTAGCTGGGGACTATCAACAACACTCACTGTGGGTTTTTTAGTTTCAGGTTTATGCTTTTGTTACTTATAGTTTGAAGATGAAACTTTACTGTTTTCATGGCTCAAATGATTGCATAGAATGAATCTCTCCAGTTATTTGACTGCAAGTAACCACCGTGAGAATAGAAAAATGGGCAAATAGAAACTACAGAGTTCAATGGCAGTGAATCAGAACAATGAAGCTGATAAAGACAAGGAAGTTATAAATGCTGTCAATGAGAAAAGACACATGTCAGAAGGCAAGATCAGAAATCTGACACCAAGTAGCTGACCGGAAATTCCAAATCAGTTTCTTTGGATTCTGTATTGATGGGAGGATTATTTTAATTTTGTATGATGGGAGGATTATTTTCCTGTAGCATGAAGAGAGCACATTCAAAATTCTATGGAACTTTGAGGGAGGCATGTGAGAAAGCTAGGGCAAAGAATGTTGCAGAAATGAAAAGAATTAGAGAGGTTTAAAGTAAAAGTATAAACAGCAAAGAATTTAATAACACCATAAGAGAATGTTATAAAGTGTAGAACCTCTTGGGGATGATTAAGGAATTTAATTGTGAGGAAGACGTGGTTGGAATACTTAGCGTTGTTATTTACAGATGGGAGTGGAAATGTTTACAAGAAGACCATACAATACACAACAAATGGTAACTGGAACAAGTTTGTTATGGAAATGGACAGCCAGCACTGGAGGTGAATGGATGATTGAACTCTGAGGGCTGCCCTCAGCCTTGTTGAGTTGAACATGAACGTAATGACAGAATGCCACTGTTCAGCAAGAGAGAGAGAGACAGACAGACAGACTCATAAACTGGATTTGATACATTGTGGAGCTGGAGGAACACAGCAGGTCAGGCAACACCAGAGGAGTAGGAAAGTCGATGTTTTGGGTTTACACCCTTCATCAGGACTGAAACCGGATCATTACTTAGGTCACAAGTAAACTGGTTAAATTAATGTTGGTTGTGAATAAACTCGTTCCATTAGAAAACAAGTTAATAAACATTTAGAAATGTAGGCATTTATCAGGGTCAGTAAAGTTATGTTTTGTTAAAGATAAATTGTTAGACAAATGTCAGCTTTTTGAACTGAGCTGCTGTGTGTGGATTTTGAGAAAATGTTGAATCAGGCAGTGATGACTGGGCAGGTAAGTGGCAGGCATTCTCCTGTGCTGCACATCTCTACAAACGTGCAAGCAGGTTCCGTAAATGCAACACAGCAGTCAGTATCAAATCTGTTTGTTGTCCGCACCCTCCCCTGAAGGCATTGCATCATGAATGGGTTGTGTATTTGAGTATTTCTCCCAGTGACCTCCATGTTTGAGTATAGACAGTGTGATGGACATATTTCACTACAGAGACCATCACATCTGAGCTTTCTCGTTAATTGCCTGGCATATACATGTGCACAATCCAGCAGAGTTTTCTGGGCAGTGTTTGTAGGTGGGGACCCAGCTTGATAATTCAGCCAATTGGAGAATCTTTACAGACATGTGAGCTGACGTTGGGAACACTGTGTGAGCCAGAGATCAAAAAGGTTTAAGATTTCAAATGATTACTCTTCTTCATTGGACATGGTGCTTTTCTGTCAGTGAAGTACACTTGTATTGAATTAAAACTGAGATCATTTGGTCTGAATGGCTTGGTTATTCATTCCTTTAACAAACCTAACAATTGGAAGTTCCTCACCTTGGTTTTAATTTTGGGTTTCCATTCATTGTTGTTTGACCATGTTTATTGTACCCTCCAGCACAGGTGAGCCTTAGTTCAGAGTCCATGCTCCCACCATACAGTTACTGGAATGGTAGGTGTGGTGACCTACCTGGGGGTGTGATTCTGACTAGGGGAGTGCAGTGTGTGTGGTTGAACATGAGGAGCCCAGAATTGATTTGCTGAACAGAGGTGGGGAGATGTTGGTTTTTCTTTGTCTCGGCGCTTGTTAATAGGAAAATAAAAGGCAGGATTGTAGCTGGCAATGCCTCTCTCTCTGGGCTTGGGGTTAGAATGAGATCAGGATTAACTGCAATTCTCCCAAGTTCCAAAAGCTTGTGCGTGTAGACAGTTTAATGTATAACCACCACACCCAGCATTAATAAGTCAGCACCTTTAGAGGTGGGGAAAGAAAAGCAAATGTTAAGTAAGGCTACAGGAGCTTATTTCTGCATAATCAGCACTGTTCTACCCACTGAGCTCCTGTTTGTGTTATACAGCCTGTTCTGCTGGGTAAACATCAGGTATTTGGTTGAACTAGAAAATGATAGAGACTGATTGAAGTTGAAGATTGTGTGTAAGTGAAATAGGATTCTGGCAGAGGCTAGTTATAATGTTGACATTTCTTTAAATCCAGAATTCTTATTGGAATAGCAAATGGACTGCTTCATGTCCCAGTCTCTGTTTCTGTGCAGTAACACAGACTTGACTGCAGTTATAGTTCATGCAAACCCTGCTGCAACCCCAATTTACTCAGTGGTTTGTTTGATCAATGCGGCAGATCTTGCTTGGAAAGTCCCTGAGACAACTCTTTGACATTTTAAATAGCATGGGACGGTGGAAAGTCCCAAAAATTTGCGGCTCTAAATGGGGGTACTGATTGTGGGGGATACTACCAATAGTAACAATAATATGTTTTTAAATGTAATCTGCTGATTTTTCTCACAAACTGCTGATTTGGTTTCGAGTGAAATTTCATTTCTGTTCTAAACCTCATCAGAATGTTTAAATGAAATGGCGACAATTTACACCAGGGCTTGAGTTCAGAATCAACGTACTCATAGGACAGGGACGGCACAGGGTTAGATAGAGAGTAATGCTTCCCCTATACTGTCCCTGTCAAACAATCCCAGGAGAGATGCAGGATGTTTAGATACAGAGTGAAGCTCTGTCTACACTGTCCCCTTCAAACACTCCCAGGACAGGGACAGCATGGGTATAGATACAGAGTAAAGCTTCCTGTACACTTTTAAAATGAAATTAAAGCTCTATCTACATTGACCTCATCAAACACTCCTAGGACAGGCACAGCACAGGATTAGATAGAGTGAAAGCACCCATTATGCTGTCCCTATCAAATACGTCCATGATACGTATAGCACTGGGTTAAATACCAAGTGAAGCTCACTCTGAATTTTATTGAAGTTAATTGTAACTATTTCCTTTGAGAATGGTTGAAGTAGTTGGAAGTGTGCCCCAGATAAATGGGGAAAAAAACCGAAAGAACTTTGGATGCTGTGAATCAGAAACAAACACACAAATTGCTGGAAAACCTCAGGCAGCATCTGTGAAATGAAATCAGAGTTAATGTTTCTAGATCATAGAATCCCTACAGTGTGGAAACAGGCCCTTCGGCCCAACAACTCCACACCAATCCTCAGAGCATCCCGCCCAGACCTATCCCCCTATAACTCACCTAATCTACACATCCCTAAATACTATGGGCAGTTTAGCATGGCCAATCCACCTAGTGTGCACATCTTTGGACTGTGGGAGGAAACCGGAGCATCCGGAGGAAACCACGCAGACACGGGGAGAATGTGCAAACTCCACACAGACAGTCGCCTGAGGGTGGAATTGAATCCGGGTTCCTGGCGCTGTGAGGCAGCAGTGCTAACCATTGAGCCACCGTGCTGCCCTTCAGAACTGAAGGAACGGTCACTGGACCCAAAATGTTAACTCTAATTTCAGCAAATCTTTTCCAGCAATTTCTGTTTGTGGTCTGGATAAGTAAAAGTCTGGTAAGCCTTAACATGAATGTTCTCATCTTCTGTCAACTTTTATCCCAGTTGATGGAATAGTTCTGTATGTTAGGATGGATTTACTGTTTCCCACTTCAGACCACCAGATTAGGGGGGATGAGGAGTAGTTAGGGGATGGGGATTGGCAGGTGCCCACTACGTGTGAGTATCCTGCTGAATGTTACTCCACTCGCTGGGACTCCCTGTTGAGATGTGAATATACTGCTTGGGCTTGTTGCTGCTCAGCCAGGTCCTGCTGAAAGCAGTGAGTGCTGAAGATTCCCTTTCGATCTCATGTTGAGTGGCACAATGAAACATTAAAGGTCAGTGTGGGGAGAAGTGTGACAGTTCTGGTATTTCACAGTGACTGACTTCAGGCTGGAGGGAGGGATGGAGGTTGATGACTAAAGACCGGGCGTGGATGGAGTGTCAACCTACAGTTTATGGAATGAAATAGTACATGCAGTGAGGGAATGCCTGACCTTTTACTTCCCCTGGTGTTGCAGCAGGCTTGCAGAGGGCTAACTGTCACCATTACCTAGAGCTGGTGTTGTATTGCAGGCTGACCACGAGGGAAGATGTGAGTATACATTAAGGCCTTGCGAAGCATGCAGCAAGATGGTACGTCAACTCGACCTGCCCCGCCATTTGGAGCGAGAGTGTCCTGAAAGGAATCTCAACTGCAAATTCTGTAAATCATTGTTTCACCACAAGGACATTAAGGTAATTGGTCTCTGAGCAAAATGAATTCCGTTTGTCTGGCCAACTTGCTGGTAATTGATAATTCATGCTAACAACAGGAGGCCCAGGTTCAAGTCCCAGTTGCTCCAGAATAGTGTAATAACATCTCTGAGCAGGTTGATTAGAAGAATAGATTAAATGAAAAAAAAAACAGGCAACTACTTAGGTGCATATTTCCTGTGCTAGTAACTAAGTGGGTCACATCACACTCTCCTTTTATGCTTACTTGCATCACTATAAAATAAAGGAATCCCACCCTCATGGGTATTTGTTCTTTACTACTTACCCCGGGACAACCAAATCCATTTCGCAGTGCTCAGAGCCAACAGATGGGTGAGCTCAGTGCAGAGCTGGGCCTGTATGATTTGTCAGAGTTGTAGCCAATGCTGACCTGCACTTAGCTTCCTAAGTAAATTACTTTTGATATTGGTTGCCAATCCCAACAAATGAACCTTTTCTCATTATGGATGTAGCTGTGAATTCCCTGCATCTTGGTATCTATTGTGATGAAAGTTTCACTCTTGACTAATTTAGTGAGGTCTTGTTTAGTATCTGAATTGCAAATGCTATAGACATTGAGCCAGAATTAGTGAGAACAGATCCAGAGTGGTTCAACTGGCACCAGAACCTTATTAGTGGGTACAGAGCTGGCGAAAGTTGGACAGGGCGGATTTAAATGTCCTTACTGCAGCAGATGCAAAGTGGTAGTCAAATCTGACCATTGCCTCAGAAAGCAAGCTGCAGCCGTTCAGAGTGAGATCATGGATGATTCAGAATGCACTGTGCCAAGCCTCTATTTTTGACACCTCGTCATTTTCTGCGTGTCAGAGCTGTCACAGGCTGGACATTGGCTGAAGGCGGTCATACAAGAGAGCTGTCACTTTCACAAGAATATACTTCAGTGATCAGGATGGCTGATCGTTCGCAAACTCTGGGCAGGGGATTGCCATATTAAACAATTCACTAATCAACATCTCTCACAGTGCCACGTCCTCTTCCTAACTTCCTACCCGCCCCCCTCCTGAATGTGCAATCTGAAACGGATCTCAGGCTCCATCATGTCAGCAACTCTTTACAATAATTAACTCACTTTCCCCAGTAATTTCTGTTTCGGTTCCAGAGTCTGAAGTAAAAGTTCAAACACAGGTACACGCAGCAGGCTGAAGGAGGAAATGTACAGGCAAAATATTCCATTGATGTGTCCAACACCCCAGCAAGGGAATTCAGTCATGAAGCCTAGGGGGAGTTTGATAATGGGGTGAGAGAGGAAATCTGTAAGTGATTTACTGTATATATTGTTGTTCCACTCACTCCTTGTGACATTGTGTATGGTAAATGGCAGGAAATGCAAAGGATTACACACCCAGGAATTAGTGCTTAGTGTGTTGGATCTACTCTTTTCAGTTATTTTTAAGAAGTGAATGATTTTTGATTCAGCATATGACTTCAGCTTTGTGGACTTTTAGTTCTAACGGCCACTCTGATAAGGATATCTCAAGTCCTATAATTAGCTGATTCACCAAACTGCGACTGGACTTCCACAACAAACAGAGCTCGGATATGTACAAATTGAGAAATAATGTTGCGAGCAAAAAGGACACAGCATCATGGCGTATTGCATCACACAGACTATTCTGCTCACTGACCCTGAAATGGTCTCTAACTGATCTTTATCTCCTACTATTACTGCCTGCTCTTTAAATTTAGCATTTTCAAATCCTTTGTATTTGCTTTATATTAATTGCTCAATGAGTGTTAGGAAAATAGGACTCCAGAGCAAGAGTGAGTGTCTTTATCATGGCTGGTCTGGTTATGGTGTCAACACTTTCCTGTCTGTTCCCCACCCCCAATAATCTTTGATTCCCTTGTCTATCAAAAATCTATCTAACACAGCCTTGAATAAATTTAGTGATCCAACCTCTACTGTTTTGCAAGGAAGATAATTTAACAGACCACTGACTGTGAGGGGAAAAAAAAATCTGCTCACCTCTGTCTTGAAAGTGAAAGCTTTTGTTTTTAAGTGTAGTTCTAGTCTCTCCTATAACGTTCTCCTAGAATCCACCGTGTCAATATTCCTAGGATCTTGTGTGTTTCAATAAGGTCGCCTCACATTCTTCTAAATTTCATTGGGTATTGGCTCTACTTGTTCATCTTTATTCAGAAGATAAGCCCTTCAGTCTAGGAATAAGTCCTGAACCTTATCTGAACTGGTTCTAACACAATTATGGCCTTTTGCAAATGAAGAAATCAAACCTGTACCCACTGCTGTAGATATGGTCTCACCAATGCCCTGATGTGTTGCGGCAAAATTTCTCTACTTTTATTTTCCATTCCCCTTGTAATAAATATTTAAATTTCCATTTGTCTTTTGAATCACTTGCTGTACATGCATGCTGACATTTTTAATTCCTGGACCATTCATGACCCTTACCAGTTTCTCAAAGGCAACTAGGGATAAACAACGAATGCTGGTCGGCTATCAATGCCACATCCCATAAAAAAGTATTAAAAAAAAGGACAGCTGTTCGAATCCAGTAATAATACTATAGCTACAGAATAAGTTACTGAAAGTGTCGTTTCTGGTTGTCCTCCACAGGCCCATGATGAAATCTGTTCCAAATTTCCATTAACATGTGAGTGGTGTGGAAAGAAAAAAATTCCAAGAGAAAAGGTAAAGTGTGTGAGGTTGGAGAACAGTCCAAGAGTTAGGCTTGGTTAACAGTATTAAAAATAGCTGTTGCGGTGTACATTTGGCACATGTGTAACGTTGTATAGGAGAAATGATTTGATTGTATTTCTCCATTCCCGTCTGATGAAAGCCTGATTCTCCCTCTTTAGCAGGCGCTGGCTCAATCAATAATTAACCTTTAAACAGACCAAGCATCTTGTGGACTTCAATGAACTTGCCAATTTTGGGGCAGTTTCCTATGGCCACACACATTGGAAATCAATTAAAACTCATTTTGCATTCAACTGTTAGTAACCAGCAAGACTTCTACACTTTAGCTTCTATCATAGCCCATGACAATGAGATGAAAGTGCAGTTTCAAATCCATTATTCCAGCATAGTACTTACAATGAAGGAAATGGACATTTATTTGTCAGTGATATTTGGAACTGTATTCAGGGCTGTTGCAAATTGGCATGTGGCTGGGCAGGTGTGTTCGTGGAGGAGCGTTTTCGTGTGATACTGATCTTCACCTGTGTTTATTGTATGTTCCTCTCCGCAGTACTCGGATCATATTCGGACATGTGGGAAGGTGAAATTACCTTGCCGCTTTAACGTGATTGGCTGTGAAATAACTGTAAGTGCACTAAACAGTGTTCTGTCTGTTTTACAACAGGTACAGGCTGAGTAATAATTGAGCTGGTTTCAGAGCAGTGCGTTAATTAATGTGGTTTACTACTGAGGGCTCTGCTCACATTCATAGATTTGTACAGCATAGTACTGATCCTGGTGGTATACCACTAGACACTGGACTCCAGTCACTCGAACAGCCTTCTATCACAATATTTTGTGTCCTATTACTAAGCCAGTTTCTGATTTATCTCGCCAATTCCACATGCTTCAACCTTCTCAACCAGTCTCCCATGTGGGACCTTGTCAAAAGCTTTGTTAAAATCCATATAAACTACATCAACTGAACTTCCCTCATCCGCACACTTGATCACATTTTCAACAAATTTGTTAGAAATGACCTCCCTCTGACACAGTCATGCTGACTACCCCTAATTAACCCATGTCTTTCCAAGTGGGTATTAGTTCACTCCTTCAGACTTTTCTCCAGTAGTTTTGCTACCACTGATGTGAGACTCACTGGTCTGTAATTTCCTGATTCATCTCTATCACCCCTTTTAAAACGTGGAACCACCTTAGCCATCCTCTAGACCTCTGGCACTTCCGCCAGGGCCAGAGAGGAATTAATAATTTGTGTCAGAGCTCCTGCAATTTCCTGCCTCACCTTCCACTGCAGCCTGGGAAGTAGTTCATCTGGGCCAAGGGATTTATCTGTTTTTAAGCCTGACAGAACCTCCAAAACCTCCCCATTTCCTATATCAAACAGTGCAAGTTCCTCACAGTCCCTTTTCCTGAATTCCATACTTACGTTCTCCTTCTCAGAGTGAAGACCGAGGAGAAGTATTCATTCAATGCCCTTCCAATGTCCTGTGACTCCACTCACAGGTTGCCCCCTTGGTCTCTAATGGGCCCAACTCTTGCCCTGGTTAGCCTCTTTCCCTTAATGTGTATATAAAATATCTTGGGATTCTTCCTAATCTTGTTCACAAGTCCCTTTTCATGCCGACTTTTTGCTCTTCTAATTCCTTTCTTAAGTTCCCCCTTGCGCTTCCTGTGTTCCTCTAGGGCTACAGCTGAATTGCTCCCTTTTGGATTTGCTAAAAGTCCTACTCGTCGTCTTTTTCCAGTCCTGCTTTGTCCTAGATGTCCAAGGTTCTCTGAACTTATTGCTCCTACATTTCCCTCTTAAAAAGTACATGTTGGACATTGGACTTTGTACTTTGTACTCTTCCCCAGCTGCTTTTTGAATGCCCCTCCACTCCATTGCTCCACTGTAGACTTAACCACAAGGAGCTGTTCCCAGTCTACTGTGGCGAGATCCTGTTTTATTTTAATAAAATCTGCCCTTACCCAGTTGAAAGCTGTTTTTTGCAGGCCATCTTTTTCCACGTCCAGGACAAGTTTGAACTGTAACGTGTTGTGGATGCTATCGCTTAAATGTTCCCCCACTGCCACAGCAAACACGAGTGGCTTCTTTCCCCAGAACCAGATCTAGCACTGCGCCATCCCTTGCTGGGCTTTCTATGCATTAATGCAAAAAACTCCCTGGTTACATTTCAAGCAATCCGCCCCCTTTAAACCCTTAAAACTATGACTATCCCAAATTATGTTGGGAAAGTTAAAATCCCCCAGTATAATTACCTGATTATTATTATTCTTACACAACTCTCTGAACTGTCTACATATTTCCTCCTCTATTTCCCGCTGATTCCAACATTGGTGGGTGTACTTCATTTATCATGCAAGTATGTTGTCTAGATTGTCTCATCTGTAGATGAACTGACCATGCCCATCACAGTGACTCTTGGAACCTGGGTCTTTTTGTGAAAATTCAATATTTCACAGTGCCCTCTGAGTTGCTGCATGTACCCTGCTGGAGATTGTACACACTGTAGCCACAGCACACAGCTGATAGATATTCATTGTATATTGTGGTAATGTTCAATTACGTTAAGGTGCTAGGTATTAATTGAGGATTCCGTGTACAAGTGGCTTGTATCTGGGGTTGGTTGGAGATGCACAAAATGCATTGTGCCTCTTGTCAATAAAAGTGTAAGTGTAAAAAGATTAGTTTCCAGTATTTCATCCTCCATCTCACTAGAAGTTTCAGTGGTGCAGTGGCAGGTCACCAATCTCAGCAATTGCTTTGTCCTGGACGACAACTCCAGGCATATGGTCAGTATCCTATTACGCTTCTGATTTGAGGATTATTAAAAGTGTTTTGGGGTTTTGAAGGGTCAAAGTTAAACTGATCACTGTAGATTTTCTAACCCCAGTCCTGTTGCTGTAGTCATGGTGCTGATAATGGTTGGTCTAGCTCAGTTCCTGGTCAGTGCTGTCTGCTGAGATGATGATGATGCTGGCGCATGACAGGCAGATCATTTGGCATTCCCCTGTCTGAAATGATTGAACAGCTCAGTCTGGGTGGTGTCCAGCCTCTTCCATAAGCTGACATTGGTTTCTGTCTTGTTATGCTGTTCTGGGAAATCTAAATTCTTCAAAACTTCCTTATCTTAAGAATGAAACTGAGTAGCCCCAAACTTGTTTCGTTCCTATTAGTGAGAAAGCAACACCATCATGTGTGCTGTTACACATTGGTGTGTCAGCATCTCAGAGCACAGATCTTGGTTGTATTAGAACCTTGCAGTGAAAGAGGAGAACTTTTTTTTTATAAAACAAAAAGGATCTCTGTTCTACATCCAGAGCTGGTATGTCCCTTTCAGAGGAATTTAAATCCTGATTGCAGTAAGATAGTTTCACGTACTCCACTTAATTACTGACATTTGTAATACAAGATAGATGTTGTTCTTGAGTAAATTGGACTGAAGCCAGCAAATGGAGTAATCTTACTGATATTTACAGTAGATGATGTGTGTGAACAGGATGTATCCTATCTGAAATATCTTGCCCCTCCCGTGTCTTCTAGCTGCCTGCTGGGTAGATTATCAGACACAGGCTCACATGAGTCAGGTGGTAGGCAGGTATTTTGTTTGGAGTTGGCTGAGATTGCTGGAGGACTGAAAAATTTTTGGTACTCTAAGCCTTTAATCCCAATGAAGGGGGCGGAAATTCACAAGTGAGAAAGTGATGCTTCAGCCATGTAGAGTCTTGGTCACACTTCACTCTGGAGGACCTGTTCTGGGCATTCCCCCCTCTGAACAAAGTCACTAACTTGAGATGGCTGCAGCACAGATTCCCCAATGTCACATCAGGATTTAAAGGCTTACATTATGAAGGAAGATTGTACAAATCTGGCTTCTATTTGCTTGCGTTTAGAAAGCTGAAGTGCAGTTTAGTGTTTAGAATGGTAGAAATTTGATTAAATAGATAAAGAAAAAATATTTCCTTTTGTGGAGGAGGTGGAACTGGGACATGTAACTTTCAGATTAGATTCAGGTCACTCGGGTGAAGTTCAAATCACTGCTTTCCACAAAGGGGGTAAAATTCTGCAGCTGGCCTGACTGTAAGTAAATGCTGGGCACAGCTGAAACTGGACAAAAGTCTGTTGAAGGAATATGGAACAATGAGAGTCAGTGGAGTTCGAGATATGGATCAGTCAAATTCTAATTGAATGCAGAAGAGGCTCAAGTGATTGAATGACAACTTCCTATTCCTCTGCAGTGTTGCTCAATCTATGGATTTACCTGTCCTATTCATTTGGCTTTCTTTGTTTTCTACTACATTGCATCATAGTCTGCTGAGAAATGTGGGCTTTTGGAGCTGAACAACAAAACACACCATACAAATGCATCAGGATCTAACAGAAAACATTTGGGCTTCTTCTAAATTATTCCTTATTTTTCAGTTCTGCAGAGATTTTCAGCACATGATGTGTTGTACAAATGCCAAGCAGTAATGCAGGTTTACTAACCTGCTGTCTAATTTCTGTGCAAATTTGCACTCGTTTAGTAGATTTTTATTGTGCCGATGCAGTTGTGAGATCAACAGTTTTTACAAGGAGTACCAGCAAGACTGATTAACTGAAGGATACTTGACCCAAATTTCTGTACAATAACAACCTGAGACACACTTGGAGTTTATGTCCAAGTGTAATGTGAATGTAAGCTACTTCTAAAAACATTTGGTGAACCAGATAGGTTTTTACGCCAATTGACAATGGCTTCCTGGTTACGATTACATTTGGTTTCTTATGTTAATCACAGCTTCATCAGTTGTAGTCAAATTTCACAATCTGCTGTGTTGGTATTTGAATCCATGTCCCCAGAGCCGTAATCTTAGCTTCGAGATGACTAACAAGTCTAGTGATATTGCCACTGTGCCACCATCTCCCCTCAATCACTTATCTCCGTGTCTTTTCGTGGCTGTTGCTTTTTAGATGTACGCGCCATTGAGATGGTCCTTCCTGAGTGCTATCTTGAAATATTGCAGCCTAGTGTTCAGCTGCACAGTATCAGCAACCTGTCAGCACGGCTTCATTTCAACCACATGTTATGCTGCAAAGGTTCAAGAATCCGTAGAATCCCTACAGTGTGGAAGCAGGCCATTCGACCCATCGAGGTCACATCAAAACTCCAAAGAGCATCCCAACCAGATCTACCCCCCATCCTATCCCTGCATTTCCCACCCTAGATACTACAGGCAATTTAGCATGGCCGTTCCACCTAACCAGCACATCTTTGGACTGTAGGAGGAAACCGGAGCACCCGGAGGAAACCCACGCAGACACAGGGAGAATGTGTAAACTCCACACAGACAGTTGCCCCAAGGCTGGAATCGAACCTGGGTCCCTGGTGCTGTGATGCAGCAGTGCTAACCACTGAGCCACCGTGCCACCCCCACTGCAGTCACTATGTTTCCAGGTGGACATGGTGTGATATTTTATATGAAGGCAGGCAGCTTCACCTTGAGATCCTCCTGAGTGTTGTAAGATGCAGTGTGGCTTTGCTATCTTGTGTATGAGGTTGGGTGTTGTTCACAAATTTTTCCATTGGTCCTTCCCAGGCTGAAAAGGAGAAGTTGGCTGAACATGAGAACCTGTGTGTGGTGGATCACATGCAGATGATGCTTCAGAATGTGATGGGAATAAAGACTGCTGTGGAAAGCCTACAACCTCTGCATCTGCAGCAGGCCAGGCTCAAAGTCAATCAGCTGTTTACCTCCATTCGTGAAATGGAGGAGACCCTGGGACCGTTACGATCAATTGGTCTTGGTGAACGAGGCTCCTCCTCCCCAGGTGAGGACCTGGGGAAACATTACCTGTCGGAAAGCTTAGAGGATGTGCAAAAGCGATGTGTAGCTCTTAAGCACAAAGCCGAAACATTTGAAAACATTGTTTGTGTTCTCAACCGTGAAGTGGAGAGAGCGTCAGTGAGCATGGCAGCTTATGAACAGCAACACAAACTGGACCAGGAGAAGATTGAAGCCTTACAAGCAAAGGTGGGTGAGCTGGCACAACCAGGCAAACCTCCCCAGAAAACACAGGCAGTGAGCAGCCTGCAGCAGATACGATGTGCAGAAGGTGCATGACTCAGTGCTTCCCTTTTTGCTTCCTGCTACTGCAGTATGGTGCTAAAGGTCAGCGCTGCCTCCAATATTATTCACAAGGCCTCACTGCTCCTTTGTACACAATAACTGTGTGACAGCAGCCAAATTAGGCATTGAGAAAAGAATGTATGATCTAGTGGAGCAGAGTCCATGGGTCAATGACTGACTCCTGAACCTGTTTGACACCCTGCACTGTACAGGATCCTGATATAGCCCCCAAACCCCCAACCCAAAAAATAAATCTTACACCACTCCCGTTCACCAAAATCCTGTTTAGCAAAGATGAGGGACAGCTCTGCCACTCTGTAACACTGTATACCACAGTGCTGACGCGTACTGCAAAATGGTACCGCACTAATGTTACACGGTGACACACCTGTCCCCACCAGTACTGTATCCCAGTGTTGCACAGTGACAGACCAGTCTGCACCAGTACTGTACCCCAGTGTTATTCAGTGATAAAACTGACCCTACCAGTACTGTACCCCAGTGTTATACAATGACAGACCTGTCTGCACCAGTACTGTAGCCCAGTGTTATACAGTAACTGACCTGTTCCCACCAGTACTGTACCCCAGTGTTATACAATGACAGACCTGTCTGCATCAGTACTGTAGCCCAGTGTTGTACACAGTGACTGACCTGTCCCCACTGGTACTGGACGCTAGTGTTATACAGTGACAGACCTGTCCTCACCAGTACTGTACCCTGTGTTGTACCGGAACACCCTGTACTGTACCCCAGTTGTACAGCTCAGAATGCTTTCTTCTTGCAAGTTTTGAAGGACCAGATCTTGAAAGGTGTTGTATTCCCCCTTGCCCCCACCTCCACTTTATAAGAAGGGAAATTTCTTCTCCTGAGCCCCAGTGACAATCTTAGACCATGTGTTGTTACCTGTGGTATTGATGACATGAACCTGTGTGGCCTGTCCTGTGTAATGCTGTTACTTCCCTCAGGTGCGTCAGATGGAACGTGCAACAGCCTTGAAAGACCTGTCCATAGCAGAGCTGGAACTGAAGCTACAGGCACTGGAGCACAGCACTGACAACGGAATCTTTATTTGGAAAATATCAGATTTCAGTAGAAGACGACAGGAAGCTAAAACCCAGCGATCGCCTGCTATATTCTCCCCAGGTTAGTTCCAAGTTCTGGGAGTTCTTATGAAGAGAAATCCAATGCTTGCTACAGATAATTTCAGTCAGAATGTCTTTTGCCGTGATCTGATATCTGGGAGGTCAATGGTTGAAAAATGGATGCTGCGATCTCAATTTTTCAATTGTAACTATGTTGGAATTTAGAAATTTGACCGGAACAGGGAGGCAGAGAAACATGGTGGAGATCTGTAGTGGGCAGTTGTTATTCCTAATACATGGACACCTCTGTAGGTCACACTTTAGTGTATGTTTAGCTGTAAGGAATTCCTTTCTGGTGAAAGGGTGTTTGCTGCATCCCCCCTGCTCTCTCTCAGCTGCTTTTCCATCATGGCAGAGGCCAGGAAGCTCAGAATAGCAGCTGCAGTGCATACTGATACAAGGGGGCTTTCTCTTCTTTTGCCCATTGCCACAAACCCCCCATAGTGTTATCACTGGGCAGTCTCTGTCCAAAGTACGAAATACTTGCAGGTGTTACCTTCATGCCATAGTGGACTTTGTTTTTCCCTTCCAATATCTGTCCCTACACTGTGTGGTCAACAGAGTTTATCACAAGACGTGCTGGATAGAACTTGGAATAAGATGCTGTAGATCCGTGAGGATTTCCTAGCGGTGATTAGCCTCCACTTTACTAAAAAGGCATCACATAAGAACAGGACTATGCCATTCAGCCACTATGACAACCCTATTGCTCCTGCAAGTCTCTCCATTCTCCCTGCATATTTGTTCCTCGAATTCCCGTTGACTATTTGGGGGCCTAGAGTAAAACCCCAGTGTCACCATTCCCTTCTTATTTCTTAGCTCCACCCACGAAGCCTCACTGGATGATCCATCAGTTATTTCATCTCTGACTCCTGCTGTGATACTCCACTTAATCAAAAATGCAACTCCCCCTCCCCTCTTTCCTCCACCTCTGTCCCACCTAAAGCACCTGTAGCCAGGCACATTAAGCTGCCAGCCCTGTCCCTCCCTTAGCCATGTTTCTGTAATGGCTGTAATATCCCAGGCCCACATACCTCTCCATGCTCTGAGTTCATCGGCCTTATCTGTCAAACCTCTTGCATTGAAACAGATGTAATTTAATCGAACAGGCATTCCTTGCTTCCTGTCCTGTTCCATCATGACCTGTTTCTTCAACTTGCTATTTCTGATACCCTATTCTCCTTCCAGCCTTGTACTTGCCTTCCTGCTGTTGAGGATCCCAGCTCCCTGCCAATTTAGTTTAAACCCTCCCTTGCAACACGAGCAAATCTGCCCGCCAGGATATTGGTCTCCCTCTTGTTCAGGTGCAACCCATCCCTCTTGATCAGGTCACTTCTGCCCCAGAAAAGATTCCAATTATCCAGGAATCTGAATCCCTGCCCCCGCACCAATTTATTAGCCTCGCATTCATCTGCCATATTCTTACTAGCATGTGGCACTGGAAGTAATCCAGAGATTCCCATGGTTCAGTTCCTGGTTTTTAACTTTTTCCTAGCTCTCTATAATCACTCCACAGGACTTCATTCCTATTTCTACCTTTGTCATTAATGCCAACATGCACAATGACTCCTGGCTGCTCACTGTCCCCCTTGAAAACATTCTGGAGCTAGTCCGAGACATTCTGGACCCTGGCACCCAGGAAACAACACACCATCCTGGATTCCCATTGGCAGCCACAGAACCTCCTGTCTATTCCCCTAAATATCGAGTCTCCTATCACTAAGGTCTTGTTTACCTTTACCCTTTTCCGCTGTGCCCCAGAGCCAGTCATAGTGCCACTGACCTGGCTATTGCTGCTTTCCCCTGATCGGTCATCCCCCTTCAACAGCATCCGAACCAGTATACTTGTTTTCGATGGGAATGGCTACAGGGGATTCCTGTACTCTCTGCCTACTCCCTTTGCCTTTCCTAGTGGTCAACCAGCTACTCTCTGCCTGCACCTTAGGTATGACCACCTCACTAACACTCTTATCTATGATTCGCTCAGCATCTCAGATGATCCTGAATGCATCTAGCTCCAGCTCCAGCTCCAGCTCCCTAACATTGTCTCCCAGGAAATGCAGCTGGATGTTGTCATCAGGGATGATGGAAGTCTCCCTGCGCTCCCACATCCTGCAGGAGGAGCATGCCGTGGCCCTCATTACCATCTAAAATGCACTAAGATTAAGAGCAAAGTTAAAAGGACTTTACCTGAGTTTTCGTGTATTTTTTGCTGAGCCGCTGCTCACTGAAGCCTATCGTGCCAATACCTTCTTCTCACTCTGCTGCCTACAAACTTTCAATAGCACGTCTGTCTCCCCTTTGTTTTTGTTTTGGTTAGAGGAGTACTCCTTCATAGCAGGCCCATGACAATCTGCTCCTCTGCGCAGGTGACTGCTTCTAGACTCTAATATATGTGCTGACGTGATGCCTCTCCCTCTCAGGATTTTAATTTCCCTAACACTGACTAGGACTGTCATAGTGCTATGGGCTCAGATGGGGTGGAATTTGTTAAATGTGTTCAGGAAAGTTTCCTCAAGCAGTATATAAAGGGTCCTACTCAGGAAGGGGCAAAACTTGACCTACTCTTCGAAAATAGGGCAGGACAGGTGATCGGGGTGACAGTGGGGGAGCACTTTGGGACCAGTGACCATTGTTCGATTAATTTTAGAATAGTTATGGAGAAGGACAAAACTGGTTCAAGTTCTAAATTGGGGCAAGATGAATTTTGGTGGAATTAGACAGGAGCCTGCAGGGGTTGACTGGAGTAGTTTATTTGCAGACAAAGGAACCTCTGGTAAGTGGGAGGCCTTTATAAGTGTGATAGCTAGAGTTCAAGGTCTGTACGTTTCTGTGAGGGTGAAGGACAAGGTTGTCAGGAGTAGGGAACCCAGGATAACAAGAAATATTCAGGCTTTGACCAGAAAAATGGAGGAGGCATGGTTCAGGAACAGGCAGCTGGGATCAAGGGAATCCCTGGAGGTATATAGGGGATACAGGAGTTTACTGAAGAAGGAAATCAGAAGGGCGAAAAGGGGGCACAAGATAGCCTTGGCTGAGAAGATTGGGGTGAATCCAAAGAGATTCTTTAAGTATATTAAAGGAAAAATAATAACTGGAAAGAGAATAGAAGCCCTCAAGGACCAAAGTGGACATGTATGTGTGGAACCGCAGGAGATGGGCGAGGTCCTCAATGAATATTTCTGCTCTGTGTTTGCTGTGGAGAAGACTTGGGAACTTGAGCAATTTAGTGGCGATATTTTGGGAATAGTCTGTATCACAGTAGGGAAGGTGTTGGAAGTATTAGAAAGTATGAAGGTGGATATATCTCCTGGTCCTGATCAGATATATCCAAGAACCCTGCAAGAGGCTAGGGAAGAAATTACAGGGGCCCTGGCTGATATATTTGTATTGGAAGACCAGAGGGTAGCAAATGCTGTGTCCTTATTCAAGAAGGGCTGCAAAGAAAAACCTGCTAATTATAGGCCAGTAAGCTTAACATCTGTACTAGGTATGTTACTTGAGAAGATTCTGAGGGATAAGATATACATGCATTTAGAAAGACAGGGCTTGATTAGGAGTAGTCAGCATGGCTTCGTGCATGAGAGATCATGCCTCACAAATTTGTTAGAGTTCTTTGATGAAGTGACCAGGATGGTTGATAAGGGCAGGGTGGTAGACGTAGTCTATATGGATTTCAATAAGGCAGTTGATAGGGTTCCACATGATAGGCTGCACTGGAAGGTGAGATTGCATGGAATCCAGGGAGAGCTGGCAAATTGGATACTCAATTGGCTTCTTTGGTAGGAAGCAGAGAGTAATAGTGGAAGGAGGCCTGTGACTAGTGGTGTGCCTCAGGGATCGGCGCTGGGCCCATTGCTGTTTGTTATCTATTTTAATGACTTGGATGAGAATGTACAAGGCATGATTAGTAAAATAGGTGGTATCACGGACAGTGAGGAAGGTTGTCAGAAATTGCAGCAGGATCTTGATTAGCTGGGGAAGTGGGTCAAGAAATGGCAAATGGATTTTAATATAGATAAGTGTGAAGTGTTCCATTTTGGAAAGTAAAATCAAGGCAGGAGTTTCGTGGTGAATGGTAGAGCCTTAAGGAGTGTAGTGGAACAGCGGGACCTTGAAGTTCAGGTGCACGGTTCTCTGAAAGTGGAGTCGCAGGTAGACAGGGCAGTGAAGAAGGCTTTTGGCACACTGGCCTTCATCAGTCAGGGCATTGAGTACAGAAGTTAGGAAGTTATGTTGCAGTTGTACAGGAAGTTGGTGAGCCTGCACTTGGAGTATTGTGTTCAGTTTTGGTCACCTTGCTGTAGGAAGGATGTTATTAAAGAGTGCGGAAGAAATTTACGAGGATGTTGCCAGGACTCAAGGGACTGAGTTATCGGGAGAGGTTGGACAAGCTCGGACCGTTTTCTTTAGAGCTTAAGAGACTGAGGGAGGAGGTTGGCCTACTGGTATTATGGCTGGACTGTTAATCTAGAGACCCAGATAACATTCTGGGGACCTGGGTTCAAATCCCACCACGGCAGACGTTGGAATTTGAATTCAATAAAATATCAGGAATTAAGAATCTAATGATGACCATGAATCCATTGTCGATTGTCAGGAAAAACCCATCTGGTTCACTAATCTCCTTTCGGGAAGGAAACTGCCGTCCTTACCTGGTTTGGCCTACATGTGACTCCAGACCCACTGCAATGTGGTTGACTCTTAACTACCCTTTCGGCAACCGGGTTGGGCAATAAATGCTGCCTGGCCAGCGATGCTCTCATCCCGTGAATGAATTAAAAAAACTGAGGGGGGATTTTACAGAGGTTTCTTTACAGAACCAGTCCCAGTGCCTCAGGAATCTGAAACCCTCCCCCTGACACCAACTTTGCAGCCACGTATTCAACTGATATGTCCTGTCATTTCTGCTCTGAATTCTGAGTACAGAAGTTAGGAAGTTATGTTGCAGTTGTACAGGAAGTTGCTGAGCCTGCACTTGGAGTATTGCGTTCAGTTTTG